AGAAAAATGCAGCTTGAATGGTTACATCCAGAAAAGTGAAGAACCAATGATTAAGGAAGTAAATAAAGGAGGCCTTTTAAAGACAACTAAAACAAAAGCAGAATATAAGAAAGAAGTAATTGAGCAGCGAGCTGAAAATTGGAAACACAAAGCTCTACATGGCCAATACTTGAAAAGTATTGAAGGCAAAGCTGACCAGAAACTAACTTGGAACTGGTTAAGATCAGGAGTACTGAAAAAAGAAACTGAAAGCTTTATTTTGGCAGCTCAAGAACAAGCCCTAGCCACAAACTGTATGAAGGCAAAAATTCAACATGTTACCACCAACAGCAAATGCCACCTCTGCAATGAAAAAGAAGAGACAGTTGACCACCTGATCAGTGGGTGTAGCAAAATTTCACAAACTGACTACCTACAACGCCATGACCGTGTTGCTAAAATCATTCACTGGAAATTGTGCCAGAAGTTTGGATTTGAGTACAGCAAAAACCACTGGGAACATCAGGTTGAGAAAGTTTTAGAGAATGAGAAACTCAAGATCTTGTGGGACTTTAGGATTCAGACTGACACGCACTTGGTCCACAACACACCTGACATAACAATAGTTGAAAAGAAAAAAGTATGGTTCATTGACATTGCAATACCTGGTGATGCACGAATTGAAGATAAGCAGCAAGAAAAAATCACAAAGTACCGGGACTTACAAATTGAAGTTGAGCGACTGTGGAAAAAGAAATCGTGTGTTGTCCCGATTGTAATTGGAGCCCTTGGAGCAATACCCAAAGGGCTACCCCGCTATTTAGAAATTCTAAATTTGCCGGACTTGAACATTTTGACTCTACAAAAAACCACCTTACTCGGAACAGCTTACATCCTCCGACGATACCTTAACAGTTCCTAGGTCCTTGGTTAGGACTCGAGCTGCTGAGCTATTAACCAGCCTCAAAGGCTGTGAATCTCACTAAAGATTAACCAATAAATAATAATAATAATATAGGGTGTGTATTTTTATTGATTATTCCCACATGTCCTTCCAAATTGGTAATTCCATTGTTTGTGTTGTGCATGAAAAATTGCAAAGATTAACAGTAAGAACAGAATGAACAACTAGCGAAGTGGAAGGGACAGAATGGAAGAGACAGGCAGATAGCTGATGCTGAAGAGAAGCAGGGGAAAAAAATACCTGTACTGACTTCTCAAGTCAAAGTATTAACTGCCTAGAAAAATTCAAAAGGCAGCCTTCAATACAAACAGTTCCAAAAGAACACTTGCAAAAGACTGTTTTACACCCACTATTTCTTATTATGCAAAATGCCTTTTGTCTCGATGGTTACTTTGTAAAGCCCAGTGATCTAAGGTAAACCCTAGGTGCATGTTAATGGCAAATTGGCTACCTCACTCTCTGGAATGCTGGCCCTCTTGAACTGAAAAAGTTACATCGGATTCCAGCCATGCATAAAAGAAAAAGATGAATACCAATTATCTGGTGTCCGTTTGCTCAGAGAATTTCTATGGACAAGTTGCTTTATAGGATTTCTGGCTGTTACCATTCCTATTCAGGTACTAAATTGCATGCCTGATTATGTAACCAACTAATTCCTGCTAAAAATTAGCCATAATGGGATATATATTTTCTCCAAAATAAATTAAATTTGTAAAGTCTACTGAGACTGTCTTAGTGCACAGAGGAAGCACAGAGCAGTATTTTTTTAAAAAAAATTCTCAGCATCACTGATTGGAGATGTTATATAGCTGGGTTTTTCCAGCTAGCAGTTGGCACTTCCTCTGAAGAAGCAAAGAGTGGGAAGGGATTTAGCAAAGCCATTATCCTTGAGATAACTGCAGCAAATAGAGGATGCGATAACGTCTTTTGCTAAATTCTGAACTGGACTCATTTCCTGTTCAGTTCATTTCCTATTTGGGTTGGATTGGATTGGGGTATAAAGGTCCTCCTTGTGTTGTACAATCTGAAAAGGACTGTTTCTGATAGATTTCTCACAGACAGAAACCCTGTCTTTTTTTCAATAAATTATTCTGTAAGGAGGCCAGTTATTAAGGGCCAATGGATTTTTGTGGAATCTATCTGAGGTTCTTTTTTTTTTTTTTAACTAGAATTGGAAGGCTACAAGTTGGAGCCAGAGGCGAAACATTTCAAGCTGAAGCTGGCACATCATTACATTTATGGTTCAGGAACAGAACCAAGCTGATTAGTCCTTTCCCACAGAATCCTATTTATGCATTTCACTGCGGGGGGTGGCCAACCTTGGAAGTGTTGGATGTTGAAACCTGGTCTACTCAAATTTTGGAGGGTGGCAAGAGACCTTCAGGCGCTATTTTTAGGCCCCTAGAATGAAAGGGACAATTTTTTTTAACCTTATTATGTGATTTTATGTTGTGGCCTGTCAGCGGCCTGTGCAGCTAGTAGCTGATTCCGACAGTGAGGAGACTGGTGTGGTGCTGCGCCAGCAGCCTGTGCAGCTGGCACTCGAGTCAGACAATGAGGAGGCTGGAGAAGATGTGATGCCAGAGGCAGAGATTCAGCCAGGGCCTTCAGAACCTCCAGAAGCTCCCATAAGTGAAGAGGAAGAAGAGGAGGAGCCTCTTCTCGATGCACGAGCACACAGAGCTGTTAAAAGGCAGGAGTGGCTCCTCAGGAGGAGGTCTCCTCGAGAGTAAGGCTTGGGGCTAAGTGGCCACTCCTCTAGCCTATTTAAGTAAGGACAACGACTGATGCAATTTGCAGGAAACAACTTCATTCATATTCCTTCACGTCTTGATTCCAGAAACATTTGATCGGCTCTTGCTTCTCTCTTGCCATTTTCCTGCAAATTGCTTCTGGGCATTCTGCCAACCACAGTAAGATTACAGTTATCTGAAATACTGTGCCTCAGAATTGAGTTATTATTCTTTGGATTCTTGTTGGCTGTTAATGAAGTTAAATTAACAGCTCTTGTTCAGTAAAGACTGATTTAAACTGTACTTGTATTCAAACAACTACTAAGAAAGCTCATTAGTAGTCCTTAATTAGTAAACTAAGGTTTGTATGGACTTTGTGTATGCTGCATTCTTTGGGGTCCGTAGCTGGGGCAGAATATTTTTACAGTGGAAATAGGAATGGAAGGATTGTAAAATGCAAACCATCCCCACCAGAGGTGGGTTTCAGCAGATTCTGACCAGTTCTGGAGAACCGGTAGCAGAGATTCTGAGTAGTTCGGAGAACTGGTAATAAAAATTCTGACTGGCCCTGCCCCCATCTATTCTTTGCCTCCCAAGTCCCAGCTGATCCAGAGGAAATGGGGATTTTGCAGTAGCCTTCCCCTGGAGTGGGGTGGGAATGGAGATTTTACAGTATCCTTCCCTTGGAGTGGGGTGGGAATGGAGATTTTACAGTATCCTTCCCTTGGAGTGGGGTGGGAATGGAGATTTTACAGTATCCTTCCCCTGCCATGCCCACCAAGCCACGCCCACCAAGCCATGCCATGCCCACCAAGCCACACCCACAGAACTGGTGCTAAAGAATGTTGAAACCCACCACTGATCCCTACCCCACCTGTAACATTCTGAGTTCTCCCCAAATGTCCCAAAATAGATTGGATGGCCAACCTAGAGTAAGAGTAGTTCTTACTGTTATCAGTAGGAAGGAGGAGAAGGGGGACAAGGAACTCCAAGTGTCTTAGTGTCAGCCCTCCCAGATAAACCAGGCAGGAAACAAGATGAGCTAATTCTACTTTATTGTAAGGATCAAAATCTTATGAGTCTGAAAGTACAAATCTCCTATAGTCACTTTTAACAGCCTGATCCATTCTCATGGGTCCTTCGTGAGTCCTTCCTAACTTTCCTTCACCATTAAGCCACTGGGGGCTCCTCCCTCTCTTTTCTGATTGTTCCCTTGGCAGCATCTCTTCTCTTCATCCCTCAAGGTCATTTCCACATACCATTGCACTTAACTAATGTGCCCTCTTCACATTATCCCCAGAAATCCCTGTGGGATAGGATATAGTGTGAGAAAGTGTGATTGATCGACAGTCAGGCTGAGGCTAAGGGCAGACCAGTACTTGTATCAGCCCAGTACCTTTATCATATGAGATGTTATTTGCATGTTGCATGTGGTTTGAGGGTTTGGGGTAGCCCGCTGAAATTTTCCTGCAATTTAATTAGCCATGCTGTACCACAGGAAAGGGCTATTTACTTCGAAACATTTTAAATGCATTCAGTTCCTTTTCCTTTCAAGTGAAGCAGCTATGAAACTTCCCTTTTCCTTATTTCCCTGACGAAATAAACTTTCCACAGATTATTTAAGGAGAAGCCTGACGTGCAGCTGTACATTAACCCATTAAAAACCGAGCTTAAAATCATGGTTTACTCTGTGGTTACCCTGACCCCCAAAGTAGCAAACATACAAAACCATTTCCATCAGAGAAACCACTCACCATTTGTCATGCCCCAGCATATAACTTTTTATATACTGTATTTTTTATATACTATAAGACGCACTGGTGTATAAGACGCACCAAGATTTTGAAGAGGTAAGCAAGAAAAAAAAGTTTTTGCCCTCCCCAGCCCACAGGAGCACTCTGCAGCCTCCCAAAGCCTCTGTGTGTCCTGTTTTTTCACAAAAACCGGATGCGCAGGGTGGGGCTTCGGGAGGCCAAAAATGGCTATATTCGGTGTATAAGACGCACCAACATTACCACTCACTTTTAGGGGGAGGGGAAAGTGTATCTTATACTCCTAAAAGTATGGTATACTGTTGTTGCTCTCTAGCCCCAACTAGTGCCCGGAGGGACAAATACCACTTATATAGTTTGGAAGCTGATCCAACCCACTTACCCATCAGCCTGCACTCTCAAAACAAGTGCATACTGGGAAGCCAGACTCCATCTTTCTTTAGCTTTTGGAAGAGGCAGAAGCACAAAAAAGAATCCATCTTAATCTGTGGCACATGGTCATCCAAGGACAAGCCCACACCACACGCACAGAGCATCACTGGTGAGATTTAGTATATTTGTATTTATTAATTGTTATGTTCAGTAGCAATTCAATACTGCCTATCTTGTATTTGGTTCTTATTGTATGTATTCCTGTTTTCCCCAGTTTCACCATATCCTGTTCTTTCAATAAAAGCATCTAGAGCTACACACATGGTCTGTTTTATTGGAGGATAGATGGGTTTAGCTGCATGTTGAGCTGCACACAGACTAACGTGTAGTGAGGATAGAACTACACGTTAGTTTTGGAGTTACACTGCTTGGAGACAAAAAAGCATGGAAGCCATGTCCATGGGTCATATTTACGCTGTTCTCTGTTTCTGTAAAGATTAGGAGCAAGGTTTAGGAGGAACCAAAATCCTTTGCTTTTCTATTGCAAAACAATTAACTCATCTTCTTAATCTTCTCCTTAAACCTAATTAAAGATGAAATATTCCAAAGTTAATATTTTTAGTAACCTAACAAAAACAATGTATATTATTGATGAATAATAAACAAATGATTAGATTAGCTTTATTGATTAACCTATAGGCTATATCAAAATACAACATTCAAACACGTATTACCAATAAAATCATATAAAAACAACTTAAAATAAGTATAGGGCAAATTACAATAATTATGGGATAAAATACAATAATTTAATACATAAATATGTAAAAAAAAACAATAAAATAACATAAAATTATATTTTTGTATCACCCCTACAATGTACCCCAAAATAAGCAAATGAATAAATAAAAGTATTCATATTTTAACCCTGTTGAAATCCATTGGAAATATCTAATAAAAACAAGCCTTTTCCTTTTCATTTCATTGCTACTAATTTAATCCTGAATTAGGTCCAAATGCTGCCATGCAAAAAAAAAAGACCATTTGGGATTTTTTAAAAATGTGGAAATGACTGAATGAAAAAGTGACTCTACCACAACAAGGCATCCATCAACATATGATACTATCTCCCATATTTTGCTGTCATTGTTGGATCTAGATAACAGCTCAAAGGAAGAGTTTGTTGATAGGTTTTTTGCTTTTTGTTGTTGTTGTTGTTGTTGTTGTTGTTCTCCAGATCCTCCCTAGCTGGGATCTGATAGGAATAGTGTTATTCCTATCTCCATTCAAATTAAAAGACCCAGCCTTGAATACTCTAGATGTATGCTGAATTGCAGTACCTTTGATTGTCAGCTTCCTGCTGCAAAACCATCTATGTCGCCCGACGGATTTGACAAGAAATGATCCACATCCATCTTCTATATCTAATGCTTTCAAGAAGAGACTGTCTACTTTCACTGCCCTATATTGGGAATAGAAAAACAAAAGTGGGGAGGAGAGAGGGAGAATGAGAGAGAGAGAGAGAGAGGGAGGGAGGGAGGGAGGGAGAGATTTTTTTAAAAAAAAAATCTGTTTTCTGAAGATTAAGCCATAGAAACCATTGTTATTAAACATAATCAATGGCTTATCCATATTGCCCACTGGCTCTGTTGGCAGAACAAGCTAGCAGCCATTTTTGGAAAAAAGGAACTGATAATAGCATTCAGTGCTCACCCCCACCCACCCCTTGCATTTTCTCTCTGTGGTTTTAAAGTACTCTTGTCAGCTCAAGGGCTCCTGTCTATTTCAGCTGGTGTGCTTTATAGGCTAACCTCAGGGGTTTATTTGCTACTTTATCCAGTCAGGGACACCCCCTCAACTGAATCAGACGTTACTATAGTCGCTGATGTCTTCTTTTACCAGAAATGCTATAATAGCACGATGGTTACAATGCTTGCCTTATAAATACAAGGTTACTGGCTTATACTGTAAACCTGGCAGTAAAAGTTTATTGTTTTTTATTACTATTTTTTGTTCCCTAAGCTACTACTTTCTCCAGACATCTTTTTTCAAATAAATCTAGTGGCGTGTTGCTTCGTTGTTTCGCCTGTTAGACCAAAGGCCTATCTAGCTTTCTGTTCCTTCAGCGGAACGGTGGACAATAAGGTGCTTCTGCTCCTGTTCTCCAGCAACTTGTTTGTCGAAACATATTGCTTCTGAACAGGGGTGAAATCTAAAAATTTTCGCTACTGGTTCTGTGGGCGTGGCTTAATTAGTGGGCAGGGCTTGGTGGTCAGGTGACTGGGTGGGCAGGGCTTGGTGGTCAGGTGGGCGGGGCCAAGTCGACGTCACTTCTTTGCCCTTTTTTAACCTACAAAACACAACACAACACAACTGGCTTACCCACAATGTAAAAGCAGCTGTGCTAGACCCAAAATGGCCCCGGCAACAAGCAGGAACCTCACACAGCCACAAAAAGTCCAAAAAACCAATTTTCACACTTTACAAACACAAAATTCCACATACAGCTTTGTGAGATTTTGTGTGTTTGTGTAGTTAGAGTGAAACACTACAGAAACACAAAATCTCAGAAACCTGCACAAATATTATTTTATTTTATTTTTATTTTTATATAAAAGCAGCTAAATTTAAAACTTCCTAAACTTTAAATGGCTAGGTCTAAAAAAAGAACAACTAAAAAAAAAACCCAATTAGCTATTTTTTTTAAAGCTCCCAAAGGGGAAAAAAACTTACAGGCAGGCAGGCAGGCAGATAAAGCTGCTCACCGATGAGCTTGATTGCAGGCAGGGAGATTCAGTTGCTTGCTGATGCAATGGATTGTAGGGATTACAGCAGGCGTGCGAAGGTAAGCAAGCTGGAGGCTGGGGGGGGGAAGGGATTTTTGCTACCAGTTCTCCGAACTGCCCTCCGCCATCGCTACCTACTCGCCCGAGCTGGTCCGAACCGGGAGCATTTCACCTCTGCTTCTGAACCTGGAGTACGTTTATTATAGCACCATGATGGCGAATCTATGGCACGTGTGCCAGAGGTGGCACACAGTGCCCTCTTTGTGGGAACGCGAGCCATCACCCCAGTTCAGCTCCGCCATGCATGCGCACATGCCTCCCGCCGGCCAGCTGGTCTTCGGGTCTCTGCCGTGCATGTGTGGGGGCGGGGCACGGGCAGGGGGCCCGCACGTGCATGAATAAGGGGGTTGGATACATTCAGGGAGGGCGTGCATGCATGCGTGGGGGCGGGGCGTGGGTGTGGGTGGAGTGCACATGCACAGGGGGCATGCGCGGGGGCTGCATGTGCATTGCATTTGGGAGGTTCGGGCGTGCACGCACACATTCGTGCTCTTTGTGCACTCGGTCCAGAAAAGGTTAGCCATCACTGTTGTAGAACATAGCCCTACCCATAGTATAGAAGCCAAATTTTCTGACTTCCCGACTGTTACCTTGAATGGAGTCTATTTTCACTGTCCTTGCACTAACAAGGAATTCTTAAGAAATCAACAGCAGATGCAAACAAATCATCCTATACTTAATTTTGTATTTTTTTTTAAAAAAAAAAACAGCTCAAGCTTAAAACTATTTTTTTTTTTATATCTTCCACCAGATAGCTTAACAGAGGGAAGTTCTATTAGGGTATTCATCCTAGCAGCACAGACCCACAAGGGGGAAAGCAATGGCAAGTTTGCTGACAACATGCTTTCTGTCCTCGCCATCATGTCATCCCCACTAGGTGGACCAGCCCAGGAAATTAAGGTTAAAATTATTATTATTGAGATTGGATGATGTAATCTTCTTCAGGCCTGTGTGTGCTATCCTTCCCTTTCTTCTTAAACTCGGTTGAATTAGAGGGGCCGTCTGCCTGGGCTGCTTCTGAATTTTATCTCATTGTTCTGCACTTTAAAAGTCCAGGTAACAGTTTTGCCTAGATAACTATATCACTAGCATGGCCAAATTCTCTACACAGCAGTACTTCAGTGGGACTGTACCAGTGGTGGGTTTCAAAAATTTTTGCTACCGGTTCTGTGGGTGTGGCTTGGTGGGCGTGGCTTGGTGGGCGTGGCAGGGGAAGGATGCTGAAAAATCTCCATTCCCTCCCCACTCCAGGGGAAGGATACTGCAAAATCCCCATTTCCTCCCAATCAGCTGGGACTCGGGAGGCAGAGAATAGATGGGGGCGGGACCAGTCAGAGGTAGTATTTACCGATTCTCCAAACTACTCAAAATTTCCACTACCGGTTCTTCAGAACTGGCCAGAACCTGCTGAAACCAACCTCTGGACTGTACTCAACATATACAAGTAGTTGTCTACTTACAACAGTTCATTTAGTGACCATTCAAAGTTACAAGCTTACTGGGAGAAAAAATGACTTATGACCATTTTTCACACTTACAATATTTGTAGCATCCCCATGATCATGTGATCAAAATTCAGATGCTTGGCAAATGGTTCATACTTATGACCGTTGCTTTTTCCCAAGGTCATGTGATCACCTTTTGCAACCTTCTGACAAGCAAAGTCAATGGTGAAGCCAGATTCACCTAACAACCATGTTACCAACTTATCAACTGCAGTGATTCACTTAACAACTGTGGCAAGAAAGGTCGTAAAATGGGGCAAAATTCACTTAACAAATGTCTCGCTTAACAACAGAATTTTGGGGATCAATTGTGGTCGTAAGTTGAGGACTACCTGTAGAAGTTTTTAATCACACCATCTCTGCAGAGCTAGGTAATCCTTGGCCCTCAGGACTTCAGTGGGCTATAACTCCACACACTAGGTCAGCTTGGCTGGAACTGTCATGAGTTTTAGTTCAGCAACCTCTGGAAAAACTTCACAAACCGGATTCTTGCACGACCAAATCTTTGGAGAGAAGATTCCACAAGATCTCCTCTAGAGCTGCACTGCTCCAGTTTGTAGATGGTGTAAGGAGGGGCCAGAAGGGTAGAAAAACAGATGGGAACAGCAGGACTTGTTCTCTCTCTTCCTTTCACTTAACTATTCTAATACACAAGGGGTAACACCTGAGAATCCACATTGTTGTGTATTCTCTATTATATATATATTTTTTTAAAAAACCAAATACTTGATAATTGCTTCATAAAATGCTTCATTAATATGATTTTTGCATGGCTCTTTTCTCTTTCTTTTCTTTCTTCTTGGTTTGGAGAGAAAACCCTAAAATCTTTCTTCTATTCCATGCCCATTTTTTATTACCAAAAATTCTTGGAGTTTTTCAGGCTTTCTGTGGGAAGACAGAATCATGCCAAATTCAATATTCTTTTCCAGATTTTTATTCTCGTGTCCAGTTTATTTCAACACTACAGTTCTATGCTTTACTGCATATCTTTTGTCCTTAGGCCTTGAAGAAATGAATCCTAAGCATTAACCATCCCCTAAGAAATTAACCTGTTTTATTGAAAAGGTGTGGGATTTCAAAACAGTAGGGCATTTTTCATAACATTTGAAGGTGAGCCTTGGTAGTACAGGGGTTTAAGGCACCCTGTTATTAAGCTGGTTTATTAAGACCAGCTGCCTGCAATTACTGCAGGGTTCGAATCTCGCCAAGGCTCAAGGTTGACTCAGCCTTCCATCCTTTCTAAGGTAGGTAAATTGAGGACCCAGTTGTGGGGGCAATAAGCTGACTTTGTATAAATATACAAAAGGATGAAGGCTATTGCTTAACACATTGTAAGCCGCCCTGAGTCTCCGGAGAAGGGCGGCATATAAATCAAATAAAAAAAAAAAAAGGTGTCTGGTGACAGCATATAGTAACAAAACATTTTTTCTGCAGAATAAAACAAGATAATATGGGCATTTAAAAAAAATAATAATTCAGCAAAGTTCTCATAAAATTAGAACATGACAGAGGCAACACTAACATTTTTACCTCATATCATATTGAGGGGAAAGAAGCCATGTTCTTGTCTTTCACTGAAACCAAGGAGTTGCAGGGCCATGGCATGAATGTTCATAATGTGCATATATTTATGTGTGTGTGTTTGCGTAGGCATGCACACACGTGCATACGGAAGTGTGTGTAAGAGGGTGTGGGTGTGTGTTGGCTTTGGCAAGATTTGACTTCCAGAATATAAGAAGGGAACATTCTTCTGGCCATTATGTCCTGGCAGGTGTCGTGTTCAGATGCTCTCATTTTTTTATGTTATTTCTTCAGTGTTTCCTCCCAGAAGACAGGGCTCCATGTCTGGCCCATTCTAGGATCTGTCTCACTCTCGGTTTCAAGGTAACCCTAAGTAAGGGGCAGGGGTGGGTTCCACTTATCTTTACTACCGGTTTGCAGTGGGAGCATGCGCGCTTCTGCACATGCGCAGATCACCCATGATGACATTGTGGCGGGTGGGCAGAGCCTCCCACCAGTTTTACTACCGGTTCTATAGAATCGGACCGAACCAGGAGCAACCCACCACTGATCAGGGGTCCCCAACTCCCGGTCCGTGCACCGGCACTGTCCACGGCCTGCCAGCAACTGGTCCTCCTCGCAAAGAAGCGAATCCCCACCTGTGGGATGCAGGCAGCATGCAAAACCACCACCACCCCTTCCAGTCCACAGAAAAACCTCTCTCCATGGAACCGGTCCCTGGTGCCCAAAAGGCTGACCTAAGTGATATTCTTATTGTTGAAAAATTACGGTGGGTAAGTTCCAGTTTAGTGTGTGCTGAGCGCATTCCCCGTTAATCTTTATATCCACATCAGAGCACACAGGCACACATAGAACGTTCAATTCAGCTAGCAAAAAATATAGCTTGATTTTTTTTAAAAAAAAAATTAAGTATCAGCAAGCCACCAACGAAAACATTTAAAAATGGGACAAAAGGCAAGCAAAATCAGGGAGGGAGACATGGACCGTGTTATTTATCTATCTGTATCTATCAAAAGGCACATAAATGTCCAGACTCAATGGAAACAATACAATTGGTAATTAGCACAGAGAGTCCCAAGGGAAGAGTCCTTGGTTTATTTCAGGCTTAACCCTTTTATGTACACAAAAGCACCAGAATAGAGATGGATAGTGGGATAACAGATGACTCCCTCCTCCATTTGACACCACGAAGGAAACAATTTGGTGGAAGAGGATGAAATATCCATTAAAACAGAGTTGGTAAAGAAGCAGTGTCACCAAGTTTCACTCTTTTATCACTGAGAAAGAAATTTACTGAGAAAAAATTAAAGCTTTTCCATTCAATCCCTTCCTGGAAGACCTAGAGACCATTGAACTATTCGAGGAGAAAAATTGAAGCTTTCTGCAACTGGACCTTGCCAAAACTAGCTCTGCTGGAAAGCTACAGCAGCTGTAAATTACAATGGGACAGACAAATGAGGGGGAGGTCTAAGGTTTGGGATGCCCAGAGAAAAGTACATTGAAGACCCTGAAGGGGCTCTGGGACAACTTGGCACAACCAGCTCACCACTGCCAAGTCATCTCTGCCAACTCACTGCCACCAAGTTGTCCCAGGACAACTCAACACAGCCAAATTGCCACAGAGACAACTCACAGCCGGAGGGAGAGCTGGGTGGGTGGGCGGGTGAGCAGATAGGCAGAGCACAGAGTGGTGTCAGCAGTACCTGGGGGCTTCCCATTTTCATATACACCCTGCTGCTGTGCTGCTGTCACAGGCCATTCAGCAGCACCAACTGTGTTTGGGCAATTGGCCAGACCAATTCTCGAATACAGTCGTCTGCCTGGAATCCATACTGTAGATTGGACATTAATACGATTGAGCGGGTCCAGAGATATTTCACAAGAAGAGTACTCCATTCCTCTACTCACAATTGAATCCCTTATGCCACCAGGCTTGAAATTTTGGGCTTGGACAATCTGGAACTGTGCCGCCTCTGGTCTGATCTAAGAATAGTACACAAAATTGTCTACTACAACATCTTACCTGTCTACTATGTCTTACCTGTCAATGACTTCTTCAGCTTCAACCTCAATAATACACGGGCAAACAATTGATACAAACGCTCCAAATTCGATTGCAGGAAATACAACTTCAGCAACAAAGTGGTCAACGCCTAGAATGTTCTACCTGACTCTGTTGTTATATCCTCAAACCCTTACAGCTTCAACCTTAAAATGTCTACCGTGGACCTCACCCCATTCCTTTTTTTCCCTAAGAGGTCCATAAAGGGGGCATGCATAAGCACACCAGCATGCACCTACCATCCCTGTCCTACTGTCCCCATTTATGTGTATTCATTTCCTTCATTCATGTCCATGTTCTTACTTACACTTGCTATCTTGTACATGTTTGACAAACTAATAAAATAATAAAATAAAATAAAAAAATAAAATAAAATAAAAAATAAAATAAAATAAAATAAAATAAAATAAAATAAAATAAAATAAAATAAAATAAAATAAAATAATAAAATAAAATAAAATAAAATAAAATAAAATAAAATAAAATAAAATTTGGAGGCGGTGGCAATGGGCAGAGCGAGTGGTGCTCTGCCCACTCGCTTGCCCACCTGACTATTTCTGTGACTGCCCGCAGTGATTGTCTCTACAGCGAAATGGCAATGTTGACTTGGCAGCAGTGAATTGGCGGAGACGACTTGGCGGTGGCAAGATGAGTTGTCCCATTCCACCCTGAAGGACCACCCCTAATCAAGGAATTGAAGGTTACCCATTCCTGCTGTGGAAAGCAGCAAGATCCTCTATATGCAAAATCCACCCCATGATTTATAACACTGCCCAATCAAACTCCATAGATAGTCTTCTCCAACATATAACTGACAAGCCCTTTACTACCCCCATGCCCCCAGTACCAAGAAGTATTAAATTTTCTGCATCTACCTTTGAAGAAAATGTTCCAAGAATTGAGAAAACAGGAAAGATGTTCTCTAAGTGTGCTGTCAGTATGGTTGGACAATTTATAGGGTCATGATCATTGTTCCATTAGCAAGTGTTTGTTTTGCTTTTGTGGTTTTCTTCTCTCAGTCTGTCCACTTAAGGACATACTAGTCAATTTGGTAGGTCGAGAAGAGCAGAATATAATGCAAAAGTGAGCTATTTTGGAACTCAATCATGGTTGAACACTCACACTGTTTGTGCCAAGAGACTCATCATGTATGTTCAGTAACTGGTTATGGTGGGTAAAATTATTCTAATTAAGATTACTTTGTTGGTTTGCAGCCCATGTCAACAAGTTATGCAGGTTATTCCTTAGAGATGACAGCAATTTAGTATAATAACAAAAGAAATTATTCAGTATTGGGCTTCAGGGTTTGGTGAAGTGATTGGCCTTCTTTTCCATTGGTTCTAGGAGAAGTGAAAGGAGACCATCCCTAAAAATTAGAGTAATCTCAAAGAAGAGATACACACATAGTATTTTGTGGAAGGTGTGGTGGAGGTTGAGAATTTCTGCTTGATAGTATCATAAAAATGATGTGTTTGCCACTTGAGCCAATGGCAGAGCTGCCTTGACAATGTGAGAGAATTCTAGAACAGAATTCTCCAATGGGGACAATATCAGCAGGAAGGACTTGTGGCATTCAGAAGGTTAGGTGGGAATGGGGGCTTTCTTGATCAAATGGCAGCAAAGCTTTCCATTTCCAGGTTTTAATGAAGAGAGGTCCTCTGAAATCACATCTTGAATGACACAAAAATGTACTTATCCAGCTTACCCAAGAGGAATCAACCATTCAATGCATTGACTAGATTAAAGACCAAGTAGTTGTATATACACAGAATGGTAACTTGATTTGTTTCATCTTAGCTTTCCTCCCCCTTTTGAGTAGCTTGGTCTTTTTGATTACTGTACTTTTTTATGGTTCAAAGTTTTGGGTGAATCCCGAAAATGGATTAATTCAATAATCAGGTCAAGCATGTTATATGAATTCCACTACTGGGATTTAGATACATTTGCTATAGAGCACAGTTTTCATTTTTGCATCAGTGGCCAGCAACTCAACCATTCATGGTGTTCAAAATGGCCAGAGTATCATCCAGATCAGGATAAAATAAGTAATAAATAAAGCCAGTTTGGTGTAATGATTAAGCTAGGGCTGTCAAACTCGTGGCCCATAGGCCAGATGCATCACACGCTGGCCATGCCCACGCCCAGTTTAATGAAGGGGGAAAAGTCATGATACGTCACATGACACCACCATGACAATGTGAGTTTGACATCCCTGGGTTAAGGCATTAGGTCAGAACCCAGGAGACTGTGACTCCTAGTCCTGTCTTAGGCACAAAACTAGCTAACTGACCTTGAGCCAGTTGTTCAGTCCTAGGAATGAGACAATAGCGAACCAGTTCTGAAATCTTGCCAAGGAAATTGCAAGGACTTGTCTAGGCAATTACCAGTAATCAAAAACTGACTCAAAGGGACAAAACAATAATAAATTTTGGCTATGAAAATTGTTTCATGGGCTAGTTAATCTCAGGGCAGATATTTTTCTTGAGAAATTATGACTATTGTCTAATGATACCAACAACATTAAATTGGTCTTAGGGACTACTCAAACCCCAGGAGGCAACTTCCACAGTGATATCACCTCAGTCCTGTGCTTAATTCTCCCAGACTTTTCCCAAACAGCAAATGGATGGTATATAAATTAAATAAACAAATAAATCTTATTCAGTGGTAAATGAGGGAGGGAGGCTCTCTTACAGCACCATAGACTTACTTTCCAGAGTGGGAGCCTTTAGCATTTTTCCCCCATTCAGATTTCTAGGGAAGGCCAAAGGCCAGACAGATGGCACACTTAGAGCATCTCACTGGCTTCATGCCTGCAGTCTAAAGCAATTAAACACATTTTTGCCAATGAATACTGTCAGGAGACGAAGGAGAAGAAGAATATAATCACACAGCACCAAGACGCAACAGCCAGCAGATATTTTTGCACAAAAGTTCTGAGCAGAAGCTATTTATACAAGCAATGAGAATTTGGAGTTTCAGCAGCTGTGCCATCATTGCCCTTAAAGGGGATGCAATTGTTCATAAAACAGCCCAATTGCTGGTTTTTGTGTATGGCATGAAACTGGGAATTGTATTATAATGATGGGATGTTTTGGATGGATGGATATGTGTATATGTGTACACACACACACACACATACACACATATTAACCTTATCTATAGAAATAGCCATTGAAAGTCAGTATTGACTAGATTAAAATAATATATTAATAGAATAATTTGAGAACGAGATGCAGCATGTACATGCTGCCTAAGCTTGCCCATTTTGTCATATTCCTGTAGAATTTCCCAGATATATTGAAAGTTAATTTATAGCTTCAGCTGCATATGAAATTCATTCTGTAATTGATTGATTATGCACCATTGATGTCAGCTTTTAGCAATCACATAGTTTTTCTCTCTGGCACTCAGTCCTAAACCTGGTCTTTCAGATCTTACATTAGTGTACCGAATATTTAAATGAATCCATCTAACTTGCTGCTGGTCATTTTTTATTTTCTTTCCTTCCACCTTTCCCAACATTAGAGCCTTCTCCAGAGAACGTGTTCCCCCATGTTCTAATCCTTACTGTGGCTTTCTGATTTGTACATAAGATTCACATGAGGAAAACAAGATGTACTCATTTTGAGTGAACATCATGGCAAGCTGACATCCTGCCAAATTGCAGGACTGCATTTGCAAGGAAATCGTGCCTGGATGGATAATCCAATGAAATCTTTCCAGAGGAAGGAGAGTTTATTGAGATCATTCACATGATTCCATAAAGATGCTCCTCATGTATAGATTACAGAAATTGCCATTCTGCAGGCAGCTTAGAGTTGAACGGCTGAGAGTCAGGATTCTATCAAGTTCACCGTGTGTCCGCTGCCACCCTATGCTTGCTTGTGCTTTGCTGCTATGCGGAGAAAGACTGCCGTGAATTGTGGAGAGGAGTAATGAAAGAGGGAATGCCTGGGGAAATGGAAGTAAGTGCTGTGTCTCCTCCAGATGCTGCCTCAAGGTCACCCAGCTGGAAGAAGTGGGCAGCCACATACCAAACTACACTTGGACCTGCCATTAAGAAAACATCTTGCCTTAACCTGACTGGTTATACTGGGGTGGACAGTGAGAGATAGTTAAGGGAGGGTGAGGTAATACTTAGGAATTTTGGTGCACAATTTTCAGTTCTGGCTTTGTACTACTGCAGTACATCTGATCTCTGATAAATTATACCTTCCTCAACAAGGATCCTTTTTATTTAGAGATTTAAGTTGTGGCAGGTCCGACATCCTGTAATGCAGCCTTCTATAGATGTTAAGGTTGACCAAGCCTCATTGCTTAATCACCTTTTGGATTTTTAAAATTATTATTATTATCTCTTATTCATTAAACATGAAACTCAGTCAACTGAACATTTAAAATTGTGTCACAGATATGATTGACTGGTACTAATGGTTGATACGAGTTGCTGCCAGCATCTTAAAATATATGATGTTCCAAGTAGCGCAGTCTTTTGCAGTTCCGCTGGTGTTATTGCAGGAAGCTGCAATTTCTTGAAGTGTTTTGTAAAATTCTTGGACATGGGACCAAGTACCCCGATGACAATGGGTATAACTGTTACATGTTTCATCTATAGCAGTGTAGTTTCGATGGCCAGGTTCGATGGCCAGGATTTAAAGTGAGAGCCTTCAAAATTCAGGGAAGATTTATAAAATCAGTTTATTCGATCAGGGCTAAAAGAGTAAAATAGTTGTAAATGTTTTCCCTAACTTTTGCTGACAACAAAGTTTGCTGAAGTTTATGGATTTGTGGGTTTTTTTTAATCTAAGAAATGAACTATGGGGAAGAGAAATTTGATCATATTTAGGTGACAAGGTTAAAATTGTTTTTCATTTGCTGGGATGAAAGTAAACTTACTCTTTTTCTGTTCTATTTTCCTTTCCTTTTCATACTTTTTTTTTTTTACTGTTCTGTTGTATTTCTTGTAGTTTTTATTCTCTTTTATTTAAGACTAGCTGATAACCTGGCGCTGCCCGGGTATTCTTACTTCTTCGTAGGGTTTATGTGTGTTTTTCCTCTAGCCAGGTTTTCCCTACGTAACCAAGGTTTTTCTGCAGCCCCAGCTCAGTAGAATCACATCCACTCAATTCTGGGCTTTTTTCCTTTCTAGCAGCCAGCAAGCTCTTCCTGCTAGGTGGGAGACCTATATAGATCTATTTCCAGCTCGTTTGCTTTCATCAGTAGGCCACACCCACATCTTATGTCCCCCTCTTTGTATCTCTGTCTCCCTCTCCCTCTCTATCTTTCCCCCCCCTGTATCTCTCTCTGTGTGTGTCTCTCTCTCCCCCCTCTCTGTATCTATCTCTCCCCTCTGTATCTGTGTGTGTGTGTGTGTGTGTGTGTGTGTGTGTATCTCTCTCGCCCACCCCCCCATTCTGATATGAGGCATCGGGCAGGTCATGAGGCACTCTCGCAGCACATCATAGTGAACTTTAGCGTGCTTCACAATGGAGGAGATTGGGTACCCTCCTCCTCCTGGAGCTCATTACAATGTGGCGGCCCTTCCCCCCCCCTTCTCTTCTCCTGGCTGGCTGTGACAGGGCCGGGAGGATGCGCCATTACCATGGCAACTCCACTGTACTGTACAGTAGAAGCCATTTTAAGGCACAACAGGCTGTATCTTAACAGAACACATACCCCGAGGGGTGTTAGGGGTGTCTTACCCCCACAGTATTTCTTTTCAGGGAGTAAGTCATCTGTGTACCAAGTTTGGTTGAAATTGCTCAAGGCATTCCAGAGTTATACCGGTAGAAGCCATTTTAAGGCACAACAGACTGTATCTTTGCCCAGGTATTTATAGACGTCAAAGTGTTTGTCTGACAGGGAGCAATTGGGAGGGGCTTTCTTCCCCCTACTCCCATGCCCATCATCCCTGCCCTCTCCTTTCCCCCTCCCATGCGCTTCTCTTTCCCACTCTGTCTATGATCCTGGCACTTTGCCCCAAATCCATCAGGCACTTCCCCATTGGTCCACTGGAGGGCAAACATCAAGGCTGGCTTTCCAGAGGAAGCTGCAAAGGAACTGACATCACAAACAATTGCCACTCTAGGATGCCGCACTTGCTCTCCTTAACGGCCTGGCTTTCCAATGTTATGCTGGAACACACACACACACACACAGGGTGCCTCCCCCCCAGTATTTGTTTCCAGAGGGTAAGTCATCTGTGTACCAAGTTTGGTTGAAATTGCTCAAGGCGTTCCAGAGTTATGCTGGAACATACATACATACAGCCTTTTTTATAGAGAGAGAGATTATTAATAAGATTATTTGAAAAAAATGCAATGAGTTGTTCTGAGATTCCCATTTTTCTAATCACATTGTATAGGTTGATATGATTGATTGACATAATCAAAGGTGTTTCCATAA